CCATGAAATACCCCTGCTAACGCAGGGGTATTTCATGGGGCCTGTTACTTTTTTTTATAACAGAGATTAGCATATTATAAGTAAGAAGATTTGTTATTTTACTTAAAATTTTAATTTAAGTTATAAGATTATAATGATTATTATAAAAACAAATCAGATGAAATTATTAAAACAGTAATCTAACAACTAAGGAGCCTTTAGCTTGTTCGTCTATAGTAAACATTTTAATTTATTTGAAGTAACTACAGTTAAATCTGAAATATCCAACTTATCTAGAGTAATGACACTAAATTTATATAGCATCCAACTTATCTAAAGCAATAACAAATATATATTAAAAATATCAACATAAACTTATCGAATCGGCCAAACAGATTAATTTTTTTACCAGATGTTCCAAAATTTATGAAAACAGCTATAAAGTCATGGCTAAAACTAGAAGCTAATAATTTTTTAGCTATAATTTAAAGCCATAGCTTAAGCGGTTTTAAGCCATGGCTAAAAAATAGAGCCAATAATTTTTAGCTCAAGTAGTTTAAAAAGCCATGGCTAAAACCAGAAGCTAATAATTTTTTGGCTATAATTTAAAGCCATAGTCTAAGTGGTCTTAAGCTATAGCTAAACTAAAAGCTAATAATTTTTTAAGCTATAATTTAGTTATAGCTTGATTATAGCTGAAGTTATAGTTTGGCTTAGTTTTAATTAGGCTTGGCTTAAATTTATGGCTAAAGCCAGCTACTAGTAGAGCTACTCACATCCCTAGTATATTAAAAATAAAGAAGAAGCAAAAAACAATTCTAAACCTCGATTATTTCTATCTATGGAAAAGAATTTAGAATGTGCAAAAGAATTGTTTACTTGGATTCATGACACAATAGCAACTAGAAAGTTATACAATCCTGTCTATAGTATTAATAAAAAATGTAGTACAGGTATATTTAGTAAATTTTTAAAGCCATATGGCATTATAGCTAAAAGATTAAAAAAAATCAGAGGTAAACATGCTTCTAGAGTTCATGGTGGTCAAATTTAACTTTACAATATCTTGCTTTCCTCAGTAGGATTGCAATGAGGCATAAGATGAATTATCATAATTTTGGAATATATTATACTGAGAGTGATATTTCAGATTCTGATCTTGACTCAGATCCAGAGCCTGAACTTGAAACTCTAGCTTCTACACCCAAGCCAATTAATAAGAATATTTCTGAAATTGAGGATATCTATGACTTATATAGGAGTATCTAGATTAATTTATAACTTATCTATTCATTTACTATAACCTAGCTTTGCTCCTTCGGGTCTGCTTTGCAATAATTAGACTTATTAGATATTTTTTAAGTAAAATTATATATATAAACCAACTCACTAACTGCACTTACCAATAAGTTAAAAATTGTCTATAATTGCTATCAAAGATCTAGTGATCCTGGCTTATATTTATTAAATAAAAAGTCTTAGTTAATAAAATCCACACATTTGATATATATAATATAATATGCATATATACAACCTATTTCTTATTCCAGATACTATTGCTAAAATCATCTCCAAACTTCCATTAGGGGATTTAGATAACTGTATTCAAATTAACCACACATGGTATAAAGAAATTTGTCATGAACTTTATAAGAGGTGTAAAAACTTTAATACAAAATACTATGATTTATTGGAGAAACTAGATAGATGCCATAGAAAGTCAAATATAAATGATAATAAAATTGAGCCCATATATAATAATGCATTAATAACATTTTGATAAGCTCGTAAAAGTAGAAAGATATTTATTAAATAAAAATATAATCTTTAGTAAAAGAATTAAAAATGCGATTTTGACCAATATTGAAAAAAATAATTATGAAAACCTATTAGATTTATATAATTTTGGGAAAAATAGATTTGAATATATAAAATATTTTGAAATATTATAAGGTTTCATTCACCATATTAATTATTTTTTCAATATCCTTAAGCAAAATTTTTTATCTGCAATTGTCAGTAAAGATCAGTGATCTCTTCTTATACTAAATAATTTGTGAATGAACAGATTGCCAAATCTGAAATTATTAATTTTTTGATTGTAGTGTTTTGTGCCTAGATATATTGATCTGTAAAAATTGCTAGATGTGGAGCATTCTCATTTCATGAGATATTATAAACCACTTATTATTTAGTTGAAATATAGCAATAAACAAAAACTTGCAAGTATGAATATTACATGTCTTAAAACCCTTATATTGAATATTCTTAAAAATGGTTCTTCTGAAACTATTGCAAGTTCCTAAACTAGATTCATGTTTTATATACAACGAAGAAATTTTTTTGCACATATTTAAAAAATCATTCACTGTATTAATATGTGGTCATACTGTACACTATCTTTGTTTTGAAAACCTTAGAGAAACTATATTTATATGTCCTGTCAATAATTGTAGTACAGAAATCAAAATTATTAAAAAGTTACCACTAATGTGGGCTCTATCACAAAGAAGTATGAGCATAGATGAAGAATCACAAGATCCATTAATATTTGGTAAAAATTCTTTAGTGAATCTAGATACAATTGTAAAAGAGAACTCTGAATCTGGCATACCTTACTCTACTACAAGTAATTTACTATCTAAGCATATTGGTGAACCAACAGATAAAATATTAAGTAAGAAACAAAAGCAAACTAAAAAAGAATTGCATATATTAAAAGATTTTATAAAAGTAGGGTGGGGAATGAGTAGCCTGTTGGGCCCATATAGGTTTTTTTGGAAATTAATTTGAGCTATTTCATCAAAACACTAGTCACATGATGATTTATTATGTGACTAAAATTTTAAAAAATAGCCCAATAGGCTACCTGTTCTCCACCATATATAAAAGAATTATCTACCAAACCCAAAGTTCTACAAGATCCTGTAACTAGAAAAGAAAATGCTGTTTATTTTAATGATTTGTACAATAATATAATCTATACAGAAACTCAAAATGAAATTATAAATCAGGAAGTTATAACCAGCTATTATCTTCTTGGTAAAGCACTTGAGAATAGGTATGATTACTATAAAAAAAGTAATCTTAAGCGAATGGCTTAAGCCTTAGTTAATAAAGAAGTTAGGTCACAACTTCCAAACTCTGTTAGTGATAACTTACTTTGAAAGAAAAAAGAATGGGCTTTGAAGATTTATGATCTGTTTAGTGAAATTGGTATTGAAAAGATTCAAAGAGTTAAATTTTTACAGTATCATCAATATCAAAATTAAGTCAGGATGAAATCGATCAAATATTGATTAAATTTGCAAAATAAATATTTACTGCACCAGTATCACGTGACGTTGTGAACTCAGTTCACCTATATAATAAATTTTTATCTTTTTTAAAACATTGTCGGTGTAGCCCATTTTTGGTATATGGCCTTTACTAAAAAATCTGCAGAATCCATTAAAAGATAAATTTTGTTACAAAAATTCGCTTGCATAATTTATTTATGATATAGGCATAATAATGATAAGTACACTAAGCCAAATTGGTCAATTAGATCATGACACATTAAATTTTGTATATGAATTTTGCTACGTACATATCATTTTTTGTTAAGATTAAGACCTGATGCGACTTATTTATCTCTAGAAGGGATTCATGATATTATCGCTTCTAGAAATATGCCCAATGCTGTGCAAGTTTTGTCAAAGAAATATCACATATCATATACACGCATCTATAGAATTTGGGAATTTGCTGTGAAAATAAATAATTAATACAAATTGGAGCAGATCGGATATGGTAATACCAATTCACCACGTAATTTTTGTCCGCATATAAAATTTATCCGTATCACCTTGCAAGGCTTATTGTTATGCATCAAGTAGGCTCGAAAAGCCATTGCTCTACAATAGAAATTGCCATTTTTCATTTTTCGACCAGGGCGCCCCGGCTGAAATTAGTACCTAACCAAAGTCAATTAACTCATGCCACATATCGATATCAAATATTTTTAACTTCATTGCATAATATTGGTGCACATCTATTATTAAACATTGACCCAATATATTTACTTCAGTATTACAAATTCCAATTTAGTTAATTAACACATTTTTATATGTAAAAATCCGTCTGATAAAAGTATTCAGCAATAATATACATAATCATGATTTGTGTATATTTCAGGATTTTGCTCAAAAATTTTGGCTGTTCCACGCATTATAGCTATTGATATTGACATTGACTCAATGTATTCTTTCCAAAGCATGTTTAATGTTGTAATGAAATTGTTATTTTTTAAAAAAGCGATCACGGGTGTGAAAACTCTAATTTTTAACGCTTAATTTTTATTTGAATCATTTTCTTTTTTGTATTTTCATGTTTTATCTAAAGAACTTTAAAATCCAAAGTAAATAGGCACAGGAGGCCGTAAGTGCTATTTCTTCCGAAATAATAGAAAAATATGTCGATACTGTATCACATTATGCAAATGACTTCGAGATTTACTAGTTATTTCGGGTATTGTTATGACAGACAATGATATTATTATTGTATTTAAAATCACATGTATGATCAGAGATTATGATTAATAAAAAAATACACGTGTGATCTGTTATACTGTTTGTATAAACTATAAAAAGGGGAGATGTACGACTATTTCTAACTAAAAAAATTCTTTCTCCTATCAAAAAACCAAATACATAAATAACTATGTCTACTGCTGGAGAAAAAGTCCATCTTCCTACAATTGATGAAGTAGAAAGCTGGACAAGGCCAAAGGAGATAATTGAATTTTTGAGGGGACAAAACTTAAGGCTTGAAGAAAGTGACTTTGATGTTTTTAGTAGTCAAGATGTTGATGATACAGAATTTCTCAACTTGAGCCAAGAAGATCTTGAAAGATGGAAAGTGCCAGGTGGACGGGTAAAAAAAATCATGAGATTAATTAATAAAATCAAAGGCGAAGGGCGGGGTGAGTAGTACCACGACTGCATTTGAATATTCCAAACCTATACTGCTTTCTCCACAATAATTTTATTTATTAACTTATGATTTCACATAAGTATCTACAGGTGTACTGAGTCTTCGGGAGCAGACATTGTTAAATGAAGTGCTAGACTTGCGAGCGAAGCTTGTAGCCTCATAAGTGAATCTGGTATAGTATACAAACTGTTATAGTGGATATAACTAATAACATTTGCAATGCAGATCTTTGTCAGCTACTAAACGACATTTTTCTGACCTGAATAACTATGAAGAAGGTTAGTTGTAGAATATGTGCCCATATTTATAGAATTCAACTAAAATTTTCCGATCTTTACAGAACAACAAGAAAACGTAAAGAAGATTCGGAGCTATCCTGGCCTGTCATTTTTTGCACTTCTTAATAATCTTATTGATCATCATGTTAAGGACAAGCAGTTACTTATTTACTGTCCTCCAGAATGCGTTGGCCCTCTGGTACAAATTTACTACAACGTTTTTAGCCAGTTCCTGCATGATTACCTTAATGAAGACCTAGGAATGGGGAGAGAGTACTATCAATGGGCCCTTGAGTTCATTTATAAAATGGCTGAAATATACACCAGTGAATCTGATCATTTAATAGAGTTTAATGAAAAAATTCGTGAATTATTTGGTGAAGAACTAAGAACAATTCATTTAGAAGATAATTCTTCAAATGATGAAGTATTGGAATGTAACGTTTTTTCAAAAAGTATTTTACGCTTTTTTGTTGAGATGAAAAATGAAATTGGCACTGGTAGTTGTAATTCTACTGTCCAGGCTGGAGCTTCTTTTGCAAAATATTATACCCAAAAGACATATGGAGAGGTACTTAAATAGTGCAACTGGACGGCTTTTATCTTATGCTCAGCTGGACCATGGGTGTGTGTTTTAGGTGTAGTATATATTGAGAAGCCTATCATAGATCCGTTGATGGACTTTATACCTCTCATTCCTACAAACAATCGAGCTCACGCAGAGCGAGTGGCACGACTTTTCAAAGCCTTACATTTGGGTGTCAATAGATTAAAAGAGTATTATTTATCACTAGATAAGCCTATAAGTCAACCAAATTTACAGCGATTTTTTCCCTATCCGAATCAGTACGAGCATCAAGGTATAACTGTAAAGTTTACATATGAAGCAAAACTTTTAGATCACAAGCTTCTTTGGAAAGCTATAACAAAAGACGGGCAGAAAATTATTGTAAAATTCGCGTGGCAATATAATCAGAGAGCACATGAACTATGTAGTAAAATTGGAAAGGTGCCCAAACTACTCTACATTAACAAAGAGATGGTGGATGGTTTTTATATGATAGTAATGGATTATGTTGAGGCTACGCCACTTTATAACTGCAATTCACTTAGTTATGATGAATATAAAACGATTTTAGAGAATATCAAAGAAGCTATCGACATATTGTATAAGGAAAATATCATGTTTGCTGACCTCTGCGATTCCAATATTTTTGTTAACAAATCTCAAGGTCAGTGTTAAAGAATGCTAATAGATTTCGATTGGGCCAGCCAAGAAGAAATCGAATGCTATCCATATTTTATGAATCATAAGCATATTAATTGGCCACCAGGGGCTGAAGATAGAAAGAAGCTGAGTCGTAAACACGATGTTTATTGGTTGGAGCTGTTGAAATCTAAATACTTGGGTGAGAGTGTAGATCTCGAATGATTAGTTAGTATAGTATCTGAGAATAAACCCAACAATTGTGTAACAAGCTATGCATATATTTAATATAATTTGTTTTTAATGATATAATAATAAACGAATCCTTGGGTTAATCATATTCATACATTTTGGGAATATTATATACAGTATCTTTTTTGGTTTCGTTTATGAGAATTAAAATATTTATTACCTGTTTCATTGATTATGAATTTCGGCTGAAAACCCTAATTTTCGATTTATTATAAAATATATTTTGCGAGAGCAGAAATTAGTCAGGTCGGGTAATCTTAATGTACATATTTATTATTTGAACACCTACGTAAAAGTACATTCTTTAGGCAAAGAAATGCCCTTATGATTGAGTTATTTTTAACGATACTAACAAGTCGATAAATAATAAAATTTATAGTAAGTTTTTGGCAATGATTGATATAAAATTTTATTTTTTGCTGTACAAATAAAGCTGACCCCAGTTGCTGATTTCGCATACATAATCAGTATACTTTTGCATGTGTATTTCATGAATATATTGCTATTGATGTATATTAACTCGTATATGATCGAGGAGTTTTAAAATTTTTTCTTGGCATCTGCACTACGAAAGATAATGCATATGTGATTTTTATTAATTTGAATATACACGTATTTTATAAAAATAATGGAAAATATTCACACCATTGATTCATTAAGAGAATTAATGCTAAACTCTTAGCTAAGATTGCCGAGCTTAGAAAGAAGAACGATAAGATTCCTGTACTTGAAAAGAAATTTGCTGAAGTTGAGGCTGAGAATGCGAGGTTGAAGCAAATTATTAAAGAGAATACAAGGTGTGATGCTGAGAATGCTGAACTCAAGTCTAGAGTCGGAGAGCTTGAGGCTAGACTTGCATTACTAGAACAGAGTTCAGCAGTGGATAGGATGGCGTTGTCATTTGGCCAGACACAAAATGAAGAAGAAGCAATGCCAGTGGGGATGGTACCAACTGTTGATGTACCTGATTCTGTAATAGACCAATTTAATAATGAAGTAGGATGAGACCTAGTGACCTTGATGGTAACGATTAGGAAATGGTTGATTTCTTGGATAAGGCGTATAAGAAAAACATTAGCAATGAGATTAGAGAGAGGAGGTGGAGAAAAAAGCTATTACAGACTAACAATACTTTCACTTCTCAAATTGAAGACTTATCTTAAGTTAATGTATTCAAGTTATCAGATGATTTTGAAATATATTTAAACCATGATCAGAATTCAGAATTGACTATACTTAATAACTCTAATAATGAAGTTATTATCAAGTTGGATAAAAATCTAATTATGGAACAGGAATTAAAACAACAACTATCAACATCTATACCTATACCCATAATCTCAGATCAGCTTCAGGATCAAGACACATCTTCAGTTACAGCAGAAAGCATAGTTTATGCATTTTATAAAGCAATTCAATTGGGACAAGAAGGGATACTTTACTGGTATTATTTTATTAAAAAATACAATAGAAAAATTGATGAAATTGTTATCAGTGAAGTTAAAGGAAAAACTGCAACATCTATAGTATATCAAGAAATAAAACTGCTTTTATCTGATATTACTGATGTTAATCTGCGTCAAAAAATCCTTAGAGCTAGAAAATAATACAAATTATTTAACATATTAGAATTAAAAAAAATTAAACTAGTTTCTTATAGTGCAGATGCTATTTTAAGTCTCAGCTACCAACAAATTCAAAATATTATAGATTATGTGATAGAAAACTGTGAAGATTTTCTTCATGATCAGAGTCACGTAACTTCAAAAATTAATCTGACTAATATATATACTTCTTCAAAAGCACCTCAATCTAAGCCAACTTATGATTGATCCTATTTTTGTAATAAAACATTAAAGCAATATTCTAATTTGTATCAAGAAGGTAGTGATAGAAATGATGACTATTATGAAATTACTAATGAATCTTTATGCCTACTATGCAAGTTAGATTATAATAATGATAATGGCATAGGAGACAGATATGAAGTTGGATGCTACTATATTAAATGTGAACAGTGTGTAATTGAAATTGAGGTATCAGCATGAACTTAAATTTATACTAATACAATTTGCCTAAGTCTTTAAGATATCTCTCTGAGGCATATTTATTTTTGTCAGCTATTGTTAATTTAAAGAGATGTGCAATTATATAAAATAGCAATATGAATACATAGACAAAAGATTAACTCCTAAATATTTGAAATAGGAAGTTAAATTAGCAGAATTACCAAGTATTTTGACAGAAAAAATCTGTTCTAGGTTATATAAAAGATATAAGAATAAAACTGGACTCGATTCTTGGATAAACTCTGAAACTTCTAAATCTAAACAAATTGAAGAGGCTAGCAATCATCTTTTATGAGACTGTATTATCAAAATTTTCAAGTTTTTAGAAGAAAAAAGTACAATCCATGAAGCAGTATATAAATGCTTTCCTTTCTTGAGATATATTAAATCGAATACATAGTATCGAGATGTTTTTAAATATACCAATTCAGAAGCTAAATGCCCAGTATGCAAAAAAGTATACACATGTTTAGATATGTAGGGCGATTAGAGCTGTCTTGGTAAAAATGATCACTATTTTCTTAATTGCCCTTTTCATATCGATTAAAAAAAGTTATTAATTGCTTTGCAGGTTTAGATAAACAAATTTAAATACAGAAGAGCCTTCTTTAGTAAATTATAGTTTAGCATTAATAAAAATCCAAATAACACTATAAATAGTAACCAAATACTTATTTACATAATCGTGTAAAAATAAAAAATAACAAGCCCAACAAACCTCCTCTTTATTTAATAAAAATTGTTATTAAACAACATAATATACAAATAATAATTTTTTTCTAACTATACATTAAGAATCGTAATCATTGTGGAGATTAAAATGAAATCAAATTAAAATAAAATTTTTCTATTTTTTTAGAAAAATTTAAAATTTTTTGAGGACATTTTTTAGGGTTAGGGTTAGTATTAGGGTTAGGGTTTAAAGTTAGTTTTATTAATAAAAGAGTATAAGTGGGTTTTATAAGCTTTAAAGGTGAGCAAGGAAGGTCTCCAGTTTCATTTTAATCTGATTTCATTATGATCTGCGACAATCATTATCACTATTATCATTATCGCCGGATAAACCAAACATATAACTATTATCAGAATGGTCTTCCCTATTATCATATCCATAGTAATATGAAATTGGTTTATAGAGAGTATTATTTGCTTTAAATAAAGAAAAAACTAAATCTCTGGTAATTATTTTGTAGGGCAGAGCTCATGCCAAGGCATAGAATATTTGCACAATTTAAACTTTACTTACAAGATCTGGGACTATATGTTCTAGATACATAACCTACTAGAATAACAACCCCAGAGATGTTAGAATCATTAGTCATAGAGCATTACTAGAGATGTGCTGTATGCATTATGTAGATAGTGTTCCAGATCTGTTTTCACTATATTAATCTAATATTTCATATTTTCAAATTCAATAACCTCTCAGTAATAATACAAAGTTAGTTTATTGCATATAGTTTTTGAGGAAGCCATAGTATATTATAATACATGTGACATAATGCTGCATTATGTGATGCAAAGCCAAAAAAAACTTGTATTCGCACATCTCTAAGTATTACTATCACTGATCTTGAAAGTGTTACTATTATTAGTTTTGGAAACATTACTATTATCGGTCTTGGATATGTTAGGTTCATTAGTCATAATAGTAGTTTTATTATTAGTCTTTAAAGTGGTAGTATTGTTGATCTTGGGAGTAGTGCTATTGTTAGTGCTCATTTTTTGTATCTAAATACAAGAAAAATAGTAAGTAAAAATACAGTTTCATAGTCTTCGGTAAATGAAATAGCAAATTATTTAAAAAAATATAGTGCAAGTGAATCAAGTAAAAAATATGAGCAAAAAATAATGTTATTGCTGACTTATCTTATGGACAGAAACTTGCTTATTTTTATACTGTCTATTTGCTAGATCTAGAGAACCTGCTAGAAGGAAAGTTACGTGATTAGTAATTGTGGTAAAGTAATGCAATCTAGATTCCACTATGTAAAGCAAGTTTATTTGGTCTTAAGTTCCAAATGCTAAATCTATTTTGTTATTTTTTTTGGTAAAATTAACACTTCCTAGATTTGATGATCATTCTGTAAAGTGAAAAAGTATATAATCTCGATAATTTGGGAATTATGAGTTTCTAGAATATATGAATTTTGATAAAGCTACTGATTAAAAACATTATACTTATTGCCCTTATAACCTTTTTAAATCTTATTCTTATCACGAGACTATACAATAAAAAGGCACAATAAGAAATTAAGATAACACTGTATAAAGTTTAATGCAGGCTATTAATTATTAAAGCTGGTCAAGGTTTTATTACTATTGTTATTATCATACACACTATTTTTTTCTAGTGATTTTTTTGATTTATTTTGATTGTAATTATGAAGCTTCTATTTTCAGATTAGTAGTAAGCAAATTCGAAAAATTGTTTATGAAATGGCTATGCTATAAACTTACAATGATTAAATATTTTAGTATTTATAGCTTATTGCTTATTTTCATGTATATATATGTATGATATAGCAATAATTCTTTTTTAACCCAAATATCATATATTTATTATGTGAAAGTCCCACCAGTGTTGGCACATAACCAGGTCATAACAGATCATATCAAAGTTTAATTAGTAAGATTATATGATCATAGTTATATAACTTCACTAACTAAACTTGGTAATATAATTTGTTACGACTTTGTTACATGATCTTAGTAATTGAACTTAGTAATATAATCTGTTTTGACCTGTTATATAATTTTAGTGTGATATGATCTGTTATAACCAGTTATAACAGGTCATATCACAATAAAGTTATATAGCTAGATTATAACAAGTCATATTACCAAATTCAATTACTAAGGTCATATAACAAAGTTATAACTAAGTTTAATTAATAAAGTTATATAACTATAGTCATATAATCTTACTAATTAACTTTGATTTTACCTGTTATGACCTGGTCATGTGCCAATACTAAGTTCTACAGCTCTAAATTCCAATACCAATATAGTTTTATTTTTATACATGTTAATCTTGAAACTGATCTCGTACATATCTGAAATGTTGAACCAAATATGGCATAGTTTCATACCACATAATATCAATATAAAAGTCTTTAAGTAATTTTTTACTGATATTATACATTACACTTTCCTACACTAGATAGTTTTGTGTTGATAAGACAGTTGCTGGAGCTATTTGTGTGAGTATGCTTAGTCAAGCAAAAAATTTTGTCTCTAATATTAAGCAATAAGGCCTCTGACTATATGTATTGTGAGATTGAACATGCTTATAATTACCATTTGGTAGCTCAGTACTTTGGTAAAGGTAGTTGTTTGTTTCGAAAAAAATATATAATCTAGTCACCTTTAATAATATAGTCTTCTTAGATACAGTCATAACCTTTTGAGGTAGTTTAGAATCTGAATATTACTTCTCTAAAATTCATTTTTTTTATGCTTATAAACCACTTATAGAGGGTGTGATCATCAACTACCATTGTCTATGTAGTAAGAAAAGGAAGACTGAATGAGCTTCCCATAGTTAGTCTACTGAACTACAAGATAAGAAATAGTTTAAATGTATCCATCTCAAAATCTAAATAAATAGATATACTTTTTTTTCTTTTGCTCTGGGTGTGATCATTATCCTCGTATATAAAAAGAAAGGTGATACAAACTTTCTAAACAACCAAACCACATTGCAGAGAGTAATTGAATATATTTACCAGAAAAATTTATACCCAAAATTTAGGAGACTTATCTTATTGCTTTGCAATATCTTACTAATATTCTTATACTATTGTTGATAAGTAAAGTTATGTTTAACTAGAACTAGATATATACTATTTTTGATTTGTTAGCATTTTAGTTGCTTTTGTGTCAATTTTCAGATAAGAAGTTTATATATTACTAAATTTTAATATAAGTTATTTTGAATGCACAAAAAATGAATTTTGTTTTAAATTATATATATTATGCCAAATCTCATAGGTCTAATAATTTTAATATAATATTTATAACTGTCTAAACAATATAATACATTAAATCATTAAATATATTAGATCTTGTTATATTTACTATTATTATTAATAAAAAGCTAAATCAGTAAAGCTCATTAATAATAGACCAGAATATGATATGAGATATGTAGAGTTATATATTTATAATTATTGTAATATTAATAATTATCAGTGATTTTTTGATGATTTCTTTGAGGTTGAAAGATAGTATGATACTTTATCAATTATTCAACCATACAAAACTTTAAAAGAATGGGCATTTAGAGTTCAAATTCCTTTACAAGAGCTAGTTTCTGAGAGAAAGAAAAACATTTACCATGTATATGCTTTATTTCTAGTATTTGGTAAAGGTAAATTTGTAGATCATGATTACTACTAATCTAGAATTTATAAAACTCATATAGCAATTTGTCTTGATTGTTGAAAATTGATTTAAGTTAATGATGAGAAGCCAAAAAAGGTATATGCTAGTGCTATATATAGATATATTAAAAGACTTGAACTAGCAAATTTGATAAAGCAACATTGAGATTATTCATGTAGCAAAGCTAAAACTAGAGATAGTTCAGCAAGAATCATTCAAAATACTTGAAGACAATTCAAAGAAAAGAATTCATCAAATGCACAGCTTGTTTGGTTGAGTTTATAAATGATAATATTCTAGAAAATGAAAAATTTCTGGGTTTAACTTTTTGTAAAATGAAAAATCATCAAACTCAAGATCAGTTCAATCAATGGAATACTAAGAAAATTGCAATGTATAGAAAATGTAATCCTAATATAGTTAGCTATTTTATTAATAATAAATATGAAGAATTTTATATTCTATATGATTGGATAAGTAGAAAGAAAATCTAATTACAGATTAGATTTTAAAAGTATCTTTTAATACTTAAAGTATAAATAAATCAATTCCTTTAATTATTATTATTTTTTTCAGTATTAAGGTGATCTCTTTGTCAATAGCGATTTATTATCATTAAGTTTTATTTCAGTATACAATTAAAGTACATATAGCCACATATGCTCCTTTTGAGTGCCTAATTTAAGTAGTCCACCCAAAGGTTCTACACTATCGGATTTGTCAACCAAATTCACGTTTTAATCAAATTCGTATATTTTGATCTATTATTGATAACTTGTGATATAGTAATTCAATCTTGATAATTTTGATGCTATTTGAATTCTTATAGTAAAAGGATTCAAATAGTATCAAAATTATCAAAATTGAATTACTATATCACGAGTTATCAATGATAGATCAAAACATATGAATTTGATTAAAACACGAATTTGGTCGACAAATCTGATATCTGCCGTACCTGCACCTCAACTAGGAGATATCTATTTAAACCCTTAGATCATATTCTTACTTCCACCATGTGGGACTTAAGACTCGAGTGTAAGGGAGCTTCCAGAAATCAGCTGATTTATCTTTATTAATAGGCCAGACCTACCCACCCACACCTGACACCTCTATTAGCCAATCAAATTTCATATTTATTTTAAATTTTATATAATAATATATATATAAACTTTAATAATAAATATCTTTTGTTAGCTGGATTAGCAAAAAAAACTCTTTCCTATTCATCACTCATACAAAAATTTATCTAAATCTGCATAACTAAAAAATTCATTTTTACAATAATTTATTAAAATAACCTATCTCTGTGTCTTAATAAAAGTTATTCTTTATTCAAAATTACATATAGTGTTAAAGTTTTAACTAAACTGGCCCAAAACTTATCAAATAATAGTCTTTTAGACCACATAGGCTTCTTTTGCCATTTACGCCGAAACTAGCTTCTTAACCTCTGTTCAAACCTAGAACAAACTTGCTTTACACACTCTCCTCTTCAAAACAAGTTATAATAGACCTCCGTAGCTTCAATATTGACCAAGTTACAAGTAAAACAACTCCTATTCTGGTTGCTTCTTCTTCTTTTTTTTTTTACCTTAGGGAATTCTTTTCCCAAACACATAGAGACGTTTTCTGTGTAACCCACGCCCTATACACCTCTAAAATTATTGGTGTTTGTTAAATTATACTAAAATTACTTAATTATTAACTAATATCGCACAATTTTAATAACTGCCTTTTTAGTACTTCTTATTTATACAATAAGATTTCGTTTTCTGACTCATGCAACACGTGATATCACGTGACTTTTGTGTAACATAAAATTGGGAAATTCTATTTTTAGGTCACGTGACCTCGTGTAACCTAAAATTAGACACTTCTTTTATCTCACCCCTGAAAAATACATTCTAATATAACCGCTACTTTATTTTAGTACCCTTTTTTCAACTTGGAAAATTTTCCCTATTTTTAGATATTTTTATTATTACTACTTAAACTTTTGGTTACATTTTACAAATATAACTACTACCAATTCTACAAATTCAATATACCTACTACCTACCTAAGTCTATCATGCCTACTCTAATCGACCAAGATCCTGACACAGCAGATCTCGACCATTTTTATATCCACTGCAAAGGTAGCTTCGGAATTGCATTCTTCGAAGATGATAAAGCTAATAACATTAAACTAATTTTACCAAAACAAAGTCCAACTACCTGTCTTGTCAAATCCACCAGATCTAGCACCAAATCAACTCATTTCTTTAGTGCTTCTGCTTCTTCTTCAGTTGTTACCTGCCTATGTGGTAAATACCACACCTAATTTATTTCACATACAAATACCTTTTACCAACAACTCTCTAGCTTTACATCTGTTAAAATGAGTAAAAACAGAAGTGCCAAAGCTACTGAACTTATTAATAATATTTCCCAATCCTCTACCAACATACCCTCATCTCCAACACCTAAACTATATTAACATACCTGTCCCAAATGTCGCAAAATTATCGCTTGCAAAATTATGAATAGCAAACATTACCCTTGTGAACTTTATTTCTCTGTAAACAATAAAGTATAACACAGTATCTGCTCCATAGAAGCCTCATCCTCCTCTACTGCTACAACTTCTACCTCAACCCAATCTCCTCTTGAAGACACTATAAGAAACCTAACCCCACTTTTTAAAGCATCTTTGCTATCTAATCCTACTACAACTACCAAAACTCATGCAACTTCCTCTTCTAATATCAATAATAATAACAAAGTCTTCCAACCTTCTAACACTTTCACTGTCAATACTTCTCTATCTAAACCTATACATATATCCAAAACCTAACCTCAATCGAACCTCCTAACCCCATCACTCCAACCCCTAATGACTATATCATCTCAATCCTCTCACTCAATAGAAATCGATCCCAAATTAGTAAAAACCAAAACTCAACCCAATTCTAACTCACAACCTCAAGTTTCTCAGTCTATGGAAATCGACCTCACCGAACTCGATTTTGCTCAAACTATAGTACCTCCTTTTTCTAATAACTCCATCTCTAACACAATTCAAACCATAAATAGCCAAACAACTCCAACTTTTTTCAAACTACCCAAACCTCCAAACCTACCATTTCTACACCAACTATCGCTACTCAACTACCCAATTCAAATAAACTCACTCAGCCTCAAACTTCTGTATCAAACAAATCAACAACCAACTCCACTACTCAACTACCAGGCCCTACTACCAACAATACTAACCAAAACTCTACCCAACTCCTCAATATTACTAACCAATCTAATAATAATGTTAACAGCACTAGCAATAACACTAACAACAATAACAACAGTAACAACAATATTATTAATTATGCTTCTGTAGTCAAAAAATCTAAAGCAAACCTCTCTTTTGACTGGTTTATTAACTTTCCTATTACTGATGAAATGAAACTATGAACTAAACTAGAGACACCTATGGCTTCCCAACTTTTCAACTTCCTCAAACTTCACCTTCACAATTTTTACTCTGGTAAAATTCTTAAAAAAGCCAACTATAGAAACTCTTACTTGCTTAAAGCTAACTTTCGCTACCTGATCCACACTATGGCTGCAGCTCAACCCCAATTCCTATTAAATTTTATTTATACTAACAACCCTGATATTGACCCCAAAGCATCTATTAACTTTAATATCTTAGAAACTACACTTAAGAACTTAATCCATAAATTTATCTCTATTCTTTTTACCCAATTTAACTACCATGAAATTTTTGCTTCAGCTCTTACTATACCTCTATATAAGCCTGAAAACTGACTTCAATTTTGTCTCAATCTCGCTCGTATGCACCTATATCTCTCTGAAAACTACCAAAGTATTAACTATACCAAATTTGCTGAAGATTTCAATCTCTGCCCTAAAACCTTTTCAATCACCTCGCATATTATCTCTATAGACCAAAATAATGCTTACTTTACTATAAAATCTGACTATAAATTTAATATCAATCTTCTATTCAATTTACTACAATCTTTTTTCTTACACAAATTCAATATCCCCTCACTTAAAAACTCTCAAAATAATTTTGATGAATGGTTTAATAACTCCTTTCCAATCTATCAATGTCAATTTGCATTAATTAACAAACAAGAAACATATGACAAACTCTATTACCTTATCAAAAAAGAATTCTCTTCATATCTCAAAAAACTACTACCTGCTAAATACTCCCCCTCACAACCCACAAATCTGTTCGAAAGACAACTTGAATACTCAAGAATCCTCAATTTCTACATACTTACCTGTATAAGGAAAGAATGTTTTTATATTCAAAACAACTAACATAATATTCCGGATCTTCGCCAAGCTATCAAAAAAGAGTTTGATGAATTATACCCAATACAAGAAAATGAAAACCAACCCATTTTTACTATTGACCCCTCTATCTTTCACATTGACAACCAATACCCTGCTACCTTCCAAAAACCAATCTCCACTAGAACTATCGACAAACTTGCAGATGATGCCGAAAGACAAATTTGCAAAAATTATTCCACAACATTCAGCCAAGGCTGCCACAACTTTTACTTTTATCAATATTTACAAGCTTATCAAGATATAGCTGCAGAAAATCACAATATTTCAGACTTATCCAAAAAACAAGCTATTGAACTACTTACAAACGATATTATATCTACTGAGTATCTAGCTAGAGTAATCACATACTTCAATCTTTTCTTCCAAGACGATAAGACTAAACATACCTTATCACAAATCTCCAAACACTATCTAACTTCTGCTCTTCCTGAAGCTGAAAAAATCCTGTCACTTAAATTTAATATCCAATTTGAAGTTCCTAAAATTGAAGACTCTTTGTTCATCAAAGAGGAATCTTTTTTACATCAGCAAATTTAATAGGGCGTAATATTGCGCAATAATTTACGAAGCGTAAGAAAACCGTAATATTACTTAATAACTTTCGCAATATTGCGAAATATATAATTTCAAAATATTACGTAAGATAATTATGCAATATTATGCAAGAAATAACACAATTTTACGCAAAATAATTCGAAATAATTTGAAGCAGATTAAAAAAAACTAATGTGAATTATAAGCGCAAAAAAATTCGAAATAATTCAAATTATATTAAAAATGTTTGAAAAAATTAGAAATAATTGGAATTAAAGAGCTAAAATTTTTAAACGACAATATTCAA